TTATAAATTGTAAATATAAAAGATTATTTTCAATCATAACTGCAAGGGGTTCTTCCTACCAAGTGTCATTAATATGGGTCCATATTTGATTGAATTTTTCCAAGTCCATAACCAATAATACAGTCATAAATAACAGTTCCATAGTGTAAATTTTTCTTGCATAATTTACAATAAGTGTGAAGATGATAGTTCTCTGTATCACAAGTGAAAGTACACTGAGATCCTCCTTTAGTTATTGGTTGATTAGCAATAACTTGTTTAACTTTAATATTTGTACGATAGATTTCCTCCATTTTGTTCTTTGGGTTTTCATAACCAATTATAGTGATCAATGGTGTGTTAGAATACTGTTGTGCTAACTCTTTTTCAAACCATTTTTCTTCATCAGTTTGAGAATAAATTTCTGATGCAATATGCCATTCTGTTTCTTTTTCACTTCTATTATTATTCCATTGATATTCATTATTATCAACCTCAGATGATTCTTCTAATATTTTAATCATAAAGCATTCAGTTGGGTTTTCATCCTCATCGTACATACGAGATAAAGCATCTGCATTAGCATTATGCTTTCCCACTTTATGTTCAATAGCAAAGTGATTTTTTGTAGTTTCATAATCCATTTCACACGCTTTCCTTTTAGCATTTTTGAAGTTTTTAACCATTTTAATACAGCATAATCAGTTATAATAGTGAATGGATGACTCAAATAATAGTGAAAATATTTAATAGACCAAACTATGACTAGATATTCCAAATCAGTTATAGGGTAATTTTCTTCAGTTTTATTTGTTGATCGACTGGCATAAGTGATAACATATTCTTTCCTTCTTTCTTTTGAGAGAGAACTGCTCATAATCCTTTTTAAATGCGTCAGTATAGAAGGTAAAAGAAATATCAAAGTCTGGATATTGTAAAATTGGTGCTAATACAAGTCTTTCCTTTAATTAATTAAAAAAATATTATTAAGCTTCTTTCCAATTAAAGGGTTAGTCCTTTTTTAGTAACATAGTTAAAGGTTTTGTATGTCTGGTAAAATCTTTTATAAATTTTTGGTAATATCCAAATAGTTTTAAGGCTACATGTAATTGTGTTAAAATTTTTGGCTCAGGAAAAATTTTAATTTTTCTAATCTTTTCAGGATCCAGTTGGAGTCCTCCTTATCCTACTGTATGTTTAAGAAAAGTGAGAGAAAGTCGACAAAAATGGTATTTCTTTAGTTTAATTGATAGTTATGCATTTCATAAGGCTTAAAATACTTGATTGATTTGGTTGATGTGTAGTTCAAATGATCCTTTTGTATGAATAATTACATCATCTAGGTATACTGCTACAAAGATTCCAATAAAGTCTTTTAAAACCCAATTCATTAGCCTTTGAAAAGTGCCTAATGCATTATTTAGTCCAAATGGCATTACAAGGAATTCATATAATTCATGAGTTGTAATAAAGGCAGTTTTCTCAATATCATTTGGATGCATGATCACTTACCAATATCCACTAGCTAAATCTAATGTAGTGAACCAGTTAGCTCAACTGAGAGAATTTAGTAAATCATCAATCTTAGGTAAAGGATAAACATCAATTTTTGTTATTGTATTGAGCTTTCGGTAGTCTATGCAAAACCTTTTGGCACCTCCTTTCTTTTCTACTATTATGACTAGTGAGGCCTATGGGCTGTATGAAGGTCGGATTATACTATTTGTTTCCATTTTCTTTAGTTCTTCGTTCAAGAACTTTGTATTTTCTGGGTTTGTTCAATATGGTTCTTGAACAATAAGCATTGCATTTCAGTATAGATACAATGTTTTATTTCAGTTGTTCTTCCGATTTCTGTTTGACTTTTAGCACAGATATCAGCATATTCACTCAAGAGATCTTGAAATAGTTGTTATTGATGGTAGTCTAAGGATTCAGTTTGTTCAAACAGAATGTTTTTCTTATCAGCTACGTATTCAGCTATTTTAGCAAGGAAGATTGCTGGATTAATTTCCTTAGAATTTATTCCTAATTCTTCATCATCAGTATCATTTTCTGAATTAATTGGAGAATAATAATTATTCTAAGGGTTGAATCTAGTTTATTATTATTATTGGATTCTGATTCATATTGTTCATCAGAAAAATTAATAGGATACTCTTCCAAATATTCATCCTCAAAGTCATCATTGTTATCTGTTGCTTTATCCTCTTGGGTTACTACTTTAGCAGTTTTGGTAAAGATAATGGGAATTTGAATTACATATTTCCTATATTTTATTATTAATGTTGATTATTTCCAATTCATATTGGCATTTGTTTCTCTTAACCAATAATTTTCAAGAATAAGGATTCCATCCTTTGATTCCAAAATCTTAAAAGAAGTGAGCATTTCAATTTTTTCAATATTGACTGATACGTTATCGACAATACCAAGAGAGCAAGTTCTAGTTGTATTAGCAGTAAGTATAATCATTTTTGAAGATCGATTGATTACAAGTCCTAGCCTGTCTAATAATGATTTGGTAATTATGCTTGTAGCAGCTCCACTATCAACAATAGCAATTTGTGCTTTTTGACCAATAGAAGTATACATTTGGCAGCAGTAGTTAGTTTACCATCACTCTCTACTATATTAGCTTCTTTTGCATCTTTCTCTCTTGAACGTTTGACAGCTCAAACCAATCCTGATCAATACATGGGTATTGCATGAGCTGCTTGTCTTACAGAAAGTCCACATGGTAAGTTTTGTAAATAAGTAGAAACATTAAATTCTGTTTGAGATAGGACTTTTAGGATAAGGCCTAGATCTAGTATTTAAGAAGACTTCATATTCTTTTTCCTCCTCAGTTTTATAATGACTTTTATTATCATAATATTGATCAGCTAAGTGAACATCTCTAGGTTTATTGAATTGAGGATTTCAGTTAGATCTTGATTGTCAAGGTTGAAGACATTCCCTACTAAAGTGTCCAACTTTTTCATAGTTAAAACATAATAAATTTAAATATATAAGTACAATTTAGCAAAATAAAACTAATTTTGTATTTATATTTTCTTTTAATATAATTTGCATTAAGATAAATTTGTAATTTTATATACTTCGCATTAAAAATATTCCTAATGTAGTTGTATTCTAAAATCCTTATGACTAATATTTTTTTTAATATCAAATATGAGTTAATTATTGCAGTATCAAGTAACCAAAAAAATAATATCTTCATACTGCAACACAATATCTATATAGCTAGTTTGTAATATTTAACTTATCCATAAAATTATTGTAATTGTCAATTACTTCTTACTTGCAGTTCTAAAAACTTCTTGTAATTTTATTACATTAGCATTTATTTTTTGCAGCTGATATCATATCCTTTTAATATGATTTTCATTACCATTAATTTTATGAATGTTAAAAGCATTGTTACTAAATTATTATTCATCTATAAAATAAATTAAAAACTACTTCAGAAAGTATATTCCAATCCATCTTTTTTATATTTTAAGAATTTAAGAAAAATTTGCACTATTTATAAAAATAGTTTTATATGTTCCAATTTAATTATTATGTAAATATTTAAAAGTTTAGTACTAAAAAAAGATTGTTTATAAAAATATTAAAGTATTTGTATTTTTGGTAATTAGGAAACAAGATGATACATATTGCTTCCTACTTTATTTAAATTTGGTATTAATTGTACTTCAGGTTAGTTTTGAATTCTAGATTCAAAAATAAATGTGTATGTATAACTAGAATCAAAAGAGAAAGAATTTTATAACCTTTTGATATAAGTTTGTTTTTGATTCTTAAAGTATGAGCACTTCTTAGAAAAATCTAATTATCATTTCATTAATTAATATATTTGATGATAGAGTACAAATTGATTTAAAAATTATTTGGAAATACATTGTCAAAAGATCTAATTTGCAATACCATAGCTTAATCTAAATTTTATTAATAAATCATTTTAAATTAAATTAAATTTAATAATTTAAATTTAATAAAAAAATATTAAGCATTAAAATTAAATTAATAATACCTATTCAAATTATTCAAATATAAGTAATGTCTTAAATGTTGTAATATTATTCTCAGGAACCTTGTTATCTTTATTCCAGTAGTCTCTAATACTAGGTAACTTAAAAATACCAGCATATATTAAAATTGTTAGCCAAATTTTAAACACTTCTATTGTTAAATCTTTCTATTTATGCTCTTCTTCTACATTCTTTGAGTAAGCATATATATTGGTAATTTGAACTATTATTTTTTATTTGTTCATTTGTTCAAGAGAAAAAAAAGTATAAGATAATAAATAGAATTGATATTTCCTGAACGAATTTATTGTAAATTCATATTGTTAGTAATAGTCTTGTTATGACGCACAATACTGCGCCTAACCTAATTAACGAATGGTAATAATATTGATCACGATTCTCAACTTTCTACTATTTCTCAGATTTCTCATATTTCACTAATTTCTTAACGATCTCTAATTTCACATATTTCTTTAATATATTTAATTTCTTTATTTCTTATATTTCTCATATTTCTTTACTATCTTAAATATCTTTTTCATATTGATGTATTTTATATAAATATCTTGCAATTCTCTAATAAATCAATAACATTTATCTCTAAAACTTATCTTTGCTCGTTAAATAATTCATTCTTCTTTAAATCTATATCAATAAAGACGACCTGACCCTTCAATTTAATTATTCGTGTTTATTTCTTCCATAGTTTAGACGTACTTAAACTCCATGCTAGCAAATAATCTTTGTTTAACTTAACAACGAACAGTTTAAGCTTAACAATGTAAAGGTTTTCATGTTGAAAATATTTAAAAGAAGGTGAAGGTATAAGCTCAATTGTATTTGTATTATTACAGTCATAATCACGACTATAATCTTTGCTGGTTCTATTTCCATTGCTTCTGCCCTAGCACTCTCTTCAGTTTAAATGTCATCAATACTTTTGTTATCTGATTCTCGTTCATTATTATTTAATAATGAATTATTTCATAAAAATTCAATAACATATAAATAATCTTCAACTTGTTCATTAGAAAATGAGGCTTCAATAATAAAAGGCAACGGATTTGTTAGCTATAAATATGGCAGTGTTTGAAAGATAAAATAAAGAGCAAATATCAAGATAATTAACCGAATTAGATGATCAGAATCTAGACCAATACATTTGCAAAATTATGTCAATCTGAGCAATTTTGGTAAATTTTCCTTGATGATTAATTTTTTTTTGGAAATTCTGGGCAAATTTGCCCGGAAAACCGTTTAAAGAATTATATATTACTATGTTATAGTGGGGTTGGGAAGAATACACTTTCTATTTTTTTGAGCACATTTAATTAATAAAGTTAATTCTGTTTACGTTTAGGCGTTTAGGTTAATATGAGGTCTTTGAAAATCATTTTCCCGATGTTTTTAAAACTTTCGTTGCGTTATTCGCTAAATTATCGTTTAGGAAATTGAAATTTTATATTTATTTACAGTCGTCACTTTTTTAATAATTATTTTTTAGGGGTTTAATTGAGGCAGCAGTAAATAGAGAGAAACAAAATTTTCTGTAAAGTAGTTGTGTCAGTTAGTAAATGAAATTTATATAATATTAAGCTTTATTTTTCCATACAATTTCAATGTCAAAAATTTCGAAAGTGGTACAAATATAATATCACATTCTCAAAAACTTTTTATTAATGTCACAACAAATTACAAAAAACAACAAAAAAACTTTATCCTTTTAAATTAACAAAATTACAAAAAAAATATATAGTAAAGCTTTCTTTACAATATATATAGATCAAAAACTATACATAGAAAATCTTATTAGAAAATATATAATCAATTCAATATTATTACGTGACGTTAGTGCTATTTATCACAAGAAATCACGTTAATCCAAATAAAAGTAATCAACTTAGATACCAAAGATATGGAATGTTCAACACAACGGATGGTTTGCTATTCTGATATTTCGGTATTTTCGGTTATAATTTTGTCGAGATTTCAATTTTCGATGTTTCAGTAATCAATATCTAACCATCCAAGTACTTTATCCCCCAAATAATTAAGAGAAATTAAAGTTTATATTGTCTTTCAGTACTATTTATAGAAATATATTAAAGGATTCACTATAGAGTTTGTCTTAAACTTTGCGATAGCTGTAATAATAAGTTAACTAATATTTAAATAGTCGTTTTAAAATTGGAACGTAAATTTGTAAAGAATCAGGATAGATACGTATTAAGGAATTAGGTAAATTTGGTAAGAAAGTTATTTCAGTATTTACGCAGTAGAGAGTAGTTAAGGAGGTAGGTAAAGTTGGTAAGCTGGTTATTTGAGTATTAGAACATACAAGATAATTTAAGGCGTTTGGTAAGGTTGGTAAGCTTGTTAATTGAGTATCGTTGCAATGGAGTTCGGTTAAAGAATTAGGTAAACTTGGTAAGCTAGTTAATCGAGTACTGAAGCAACGGAGCTCTTTTAAGGAATTGGGTAAAGCTGGTAGACCAGTGATTTGAGTGTCAGAACAGTAGAGTTCGGTTAAGGAGTCGGGTAAAGTTGGTAAACTATATATGTTAGTTTCATAGCAGTAGAGTTTTGTTAAGGAGTCGGGTAAAGTCGGTAGGATAGTTATCTGGGTATTACGGCAGTAAAGCTCCGTTAAGGATTTAGGCAAGTTTGGCAAGTTAATGATTTTAGTATTATAGCATTTGAGCATTTTTAAGGAGTCGGGTAAATTTGGTAAAACAGATATTTGAGTGTCAGAACAGTCGAGTTCCGTTAAGGAGTCTGGTAAAGTTGTTGGCAATCTAAATATGTTAGTTTCGTAGCAGTAGATTTCTTTTAAGGTGTTGGGTAATGTTGGTAAGCTAGCGAGTTGTGTATTATTGCAGTAAAGTGTTGTTAAATTTCGATATCTTTGTAATCCTCCTGAGTTTAATATTTCATCCTTATTAGTGTCTGTAATAGTTAATATATTGATAGTATCATCATACGCTTGCGTTTTGATTTTTTCTTCTTGTTCTTTAATCTTTTTTTCAAGGTCATTGATAGCTTTTTGTTTAGCTTTAGAATCTTCTTTTTGCTCTTTTATAACTTCTTCTAGATATATTTGCTTGACTTTGGCTGCTTCCTTCGTTTCCTTTAAATCATGAAAATTGAGTCGAGTTACTTTTTCTTGTTCTTTAATCCTTCCTTCTAAAGCGTTAATAGTCTCATTCTTGGATTGGAGCTCTTTTTCTTGTTTTTTAATAATTATATCTGAAACATTAATTTTTCTTAGCTTGAAATATTCTTATTATTATATAAATTGATAATTTACTTTGATATTTCTCACCTTTTTTAGTTAATTCAAAATTCAAATTTTGAAAGCTTTGCCTTTGGTAATCCAATTCAGCTAATATCTCAGTAATTGTTTGTCCTGCTAATAACTCTCTCAATTTATGCAAATCTTTATTATCATCTTTATTCCACAAAAGTGAGTTTAAATCCTTAATCTCATCCTCATATTCCTTCAAGGTTTTTTTTATAACCATTTTTACGATTATAATTTAGAAGAAATAAAATTTTTATTTTAGGCTATTAATGAACACACTTTATAAATAGTAAACAATTCAGCCCCTCGATAACCTTCCTTTTTTTAGAATGATCGACCGGAATAACCTTTCTAATATGGATTACAATGATTAAAGAAGCAAGATCTTCATCAATGCTGAACAATTGCATTTCTAAATAAAGTTAGACTAATATTGCAAATTATCAAATATTTTCAAATACTTTACAAATAACTAGAGGTTGGAACCGGCCCAAAAATCCTTAACCGGTTAATAACCGGTTAAAAATTTCTTTAACCAGTTAATTAACCGGTTAAATTTAACTCAGGCCGGCACTATAAATTTGGGCAAAACTAGCAAATTTTGTAATTGCAAAAAAATTTTAATTCTGCCCGAAAATTAAATTTCGGCCAGAGTTAACATTAGTTATTTTAACCGGTTAAAAAAAAAGATAAACGTCTTAACCGGTTAATTAACCGGTTAAAAATTAACCGGTTCCAACCTCTACAAATAACGACAAGAATTATAAATGGTACTAACTGAGAAACATTTCCCTTTCATAGTAATATATGATACAAAGTTATTGCCTTACGATAATTTGTACGAGAATAACCAAATCTATCTAATTATGTTTGACAAAATTATCAAATCAAACTTTGAAATATTGCATGAATGTCGTTTATTTTTTTTTTATTTATTTTTATTTTTAAAATATCTGTTTAAATACTGAAATATTGAAACATTCAAATCTGTCCAGTTTTTTTTTGTCTTCTAAACGACAAGCTTTAATTTACAAGTTTGAACTATTGAAATTAAGTTGGTTACCTAACAAACACACTGAGATTTTCACAGGTGGCAAAATCCAATTACGGTACGATCAATATATATTTTGGGATAACTACGGTACAAAATTAAAAAACGCGTCCTATGATAATATTTTATAATTTTATACATATCGAACTCTTTAATTTTTCTCTAATTTTGTCGTTAGAATTTCTGCGAAATTAAAATGCAAGACGAGTATTTCAAAATGACAAGACAATATCTCGAAGAGGATAATTACAATGACAATATTGGTGATGAAAAAAATATATAGTTGTAATAGAATATATAAAAGATATTAAAAAGGAAGGGGATGATAACAATGATAACAATGGAATAACAATAATGACAATTGATAGTTGATGCATCAGTAGATATCTTCCTTTAAAAATTAACCTGTATTTTTTTTTGATTTGTTGAATACAGTAGGTTTTTATTATATTAAATTATTTTAATGATTTACTTTATAATAATATACTTGAAATATAGCAATAACATGTATAATACACGGCCGTATATGATTATTATTCTTAAGCCATGGAGTTAGAGAGAGTTTATTTAAACTATAATCGTGATATTACATAAAAATATTATAGCATGGCATGAAGTATAGCAAAGTCTTGTGTTTGAAATGTTCAACATCAATTATACTTATTTAGGACCTGAGAATATTCCTCTGCGTGCAAATTATTTACAAAATGTTTTCGTTGATATGAAAGAAAAAAAAATGAACACATTTCTAGATACGGGATGTGTAAAATGCAAATGATGTGTTTAAAGTTTAATTACAAACCCCCCAAATCGTTAATAATGGTTAAAGTATAATGAACATATTATTATAAAAGTAAAGTAAAAATCGTTATCAGTTAATAATTTATTTGTGTACTATGCAATTTAAAGGGTTTACATATTAAATAACAATAACTTCTTATGTCGTTGTGGATAATATGTGATTTATAAGCTAGTTAATCTCAGTACGACCCCCATCGAGGTTTAATTGCAACGCGACCTTCAAAGCAAGAAGTCTAACGGTATTAGGTCAAATTTTTATTTGATTTTCAAAAAATAAATTCCTTAAAGATATTTATGTTATAATTAATCATAAAATAATCTTGTTTCAGCTGAAACTATTGTCCCTTATTTATTAACTTTTAGTCTGTTTCAGAAAGAAAAAATACTTTAAAATTGGTAATGTTATTAAATTGTTTCATCTAGAGCGAAAAAAGAATAAAAAATATAAAATGAAAAATAGGATAATAAATTAAATTTATTTAATAAACGCAGTATCAAAAAAGAATTTGCGAAGAAATACTGAAGATCCAAGAGAACGAAACCCTACATGAATTATATAGATATTTTTTAACGGAATCCAAAAGCTGGTTTGTAAGTATGATAATGCGTTTTTTTGCACGAATAAAAACTGAGATATTTTAAATCATACTGAATATAATTTATATTTTCAATGTGCTATAAATTTGGTATTATTTCAAAGTTAGTACACTTAATTTGTCCAATCTTTTCATAGAATATTATTTAAGACGATTATAAGTAAACTTCGAATTCTTTGTTGAATATCTGAATTGAATACTATGAAGTATTGAGACATAGTTAATCATTCAGTCTTGGACATTTGTACAATTAGATCAATTGTTCAATTATTGCTGAATGTAAGTTCAAAATTAGGCTTAACTAATATTCAAAATTTGCAAATCTAATTTTATCATTACATTAGAAGATACTTATAAGAATAAAGGTATTTTTGATAAAGTATTTCTAAATACTAGGTAAAAGAGCTAATAAAGTTATTAGAACTCAATCATCATACAAGAGCGTCTCCAGCAATTGATAAAAAATCCAGTATTTTTATTGGAGAAATTGTAGCATTAATAATAAAAGTGGATAAACTTAATTCTCAGTTCAAAATGCTTGAAAGAACAGTAGACTGTATAGGAAATTATGTAGAAGAGCTACTACCTATTTTATTTAAATATTTTATTATAGGATTAAATTACTAAACTGGTTTTAGTAAGGAAAATTGGTATCCTATTGGTAATACTTCAGAAGAAAATCTAATCTTTAAATAAATAATGAAAAATTATAATATAATTTCTTGATTCTTATATCTTTAACAATTTTTTTTACTTTTTTATTATTTTAAATTTTTAAAAAAAATGAAAGAAAATATTGCTAATTGTTTTATTATCACATCAATTTTTTCATATAAAATATAATTGATTAAATGTAAATAATTATAAAAAATTATTATTATTTTAATGATTATCAATAAATATAGTATTATATCTTAATAATTTCCATTTATTTCTTTTTTAGATTTATGTAAACAATAGAAATTTTTAATTACAATTTTGCAATTAGAATTTAAATATGTTAATAATAAATATTAAATAGAAATTTTAGTATTAAATAATAAATAATAAAATAATTATTTTTTTTTATAATTTTATAATCCAAAATTTTTTATTATTATCAATAAGCAAAATATTACAGTCATATCTCTTTATAGTTACATGGTCAAACATATAGTGTAAAATATGCTTATAAAGAAATATTATTATGATTCTAATTAAAGAAAAGAATTTTTCTTATAATTGTACCTATCGAAAATTTCAAATAGATAACTGTACATAATATGATGTGCTTATAGAGAAGGTTTCTATTTAACTGTATTTAATATGTTAATTAAAATTATTTGCTTAGAATAATATGAAAATTATAGGATTATAAGAATTTTATGACTAAAATTTCATTTTATTAATAATTTTCTCAAATACTATTTTTTTTAGCGAACCTTCTATATATAACATATATTTTAATATAATAAAATCAAATTTTTTATCAAATAGAAGCTTGTTTATAGAAAGTGAGGAAATCTAAAAAAAAAAGTTTTTATGAATTAATATTAAATCTGAACTTATTTTACTAAAAAAATCATATTTAGCATAAAAACTAAAATTTTAATTTTTTTAGATTTTTTCTTTTATTAACAAGCTTCAAAATATATAATTATATATCTTTTGATTATTTAAATTATATAAAAATATAAGAATTATAATATTTATCTTATTTAAATAAACAAAGTAAAATGTTAATTAAAATAGATTTTAGTTTCTTTAACTAGATTATTTTTTCAAAAACAAATAAAAAATTAAGCAAATTTACAAGTATTAAAAAATATATAATGTTAAGAAGTAGAATTAAATTTAATATTTTATTAATATAGAATAATGATTATCTATTTAACTTTTATATAATTGATCTTTAAATATTTAATTAATTTGAAAAATCTGTAAAAACAGATTTAATATCATTTGTTAAATATAATATTTCAATAATTTTTTTATAAAAAAATAAATTATTATAATATATTTTGTAATAAAATAATAAAATTATATATTTTTTTATATAAATAATTTGGTTAATACTTTTATTAATTGTTTATATACTGTATTTAAATATATTATGATAATATATAATCAAAGTTTTTATAAATCAGATATATTTAATATCATAATATTAGTTATTATTCTAATTGGTTTTTTATGTATAATAATAGATTAAAAATTTAACAATATATTGTGAATTAAATTTTTGTATAAGTAAATAGTATTAATATTATTTGAATCATATATAGTAAATAAATTTAATATAAATAATAAATTGGAGGAAATTATTCATATTAAGTAAACATGATATTATATAATAGAAATGTGATTAATGATAATATTTATTTTAAGAATTTAAAGTTATTTCTAAAAATTTAAATATAATTAATTTAATTTAAAAATAAATTAATATAATATTATTCGAAATATATTATTAAACTGTTTATATCTGCAATTTTTCATTATTATATATTGTTGATATATAAGTATTTTGATATAAATAGTTGATATATTAATTAAAATTTTAGCTTTAATATCATGTTACCATTTGATAATAAAGTAACATGAATTTTTATATTAATTACTATTATATATTTTATATTTTTGTCAGAATTCATAAGTTTTAATTAAATATTAAAATAATATAAAGTAATGAATAATATCTTTCTGTTAAATCAATAAATTTATGAGCACTTTGATTAATAAAATTTTCTCATTAGTAAATAATAACGATAAGTATTCTTATTATATATTTAT